AGATGCATCGTTTTTTTTTTTCCGCTTTCTTTTTTTTTTCTTAAATTTCCAAATGTAATTGAAAGAAAACATATTAAAATTATTCATTTTTTTTTACCAACATTCTTTAAACTGGAACATTTCTTTCTCTTCTTTTTTTGAAAAAAGAAATAATTTTTTTGAAAGATATTTCATTTTTTATTTTGAAATGAATAAATACATTAATGCCTTATTGTCTTATTTACACACATAAACTCTTTTTCCGAATGAATAAATGCATTTAATGCCTTATTGTCTTATTTACACACATAAACTTTTTCTGCATCAATAAATGCATTTAGTGTCTTACTGTCTTATTTACATCTAACCATTTTGAAATAAGTAATGGCATTTAATTTCTTTGTATCTTATTTATATGCATAAATTCATTTTGAAATTAATTAATGTATTGATTGTCTTATTGTCTTATTCACACAGATATATAACAATGATTAGTTATAATAACTATCCTTATTGTTTATTACTATTATATGCATATAATTTTATTTGTAATGCTTCTATGATGTAATTATGTAATTGTAATAGCATTGCCGTATGTATATGTTGTAATTGTATAATTGTAATAACATTACCGTATGTATATGATGTAATTGTATAATTGTAATAGCATTACCGTATGTAAATTACTATGTTAATAAGAAGAAAAACGATGATAAAATGAAAAAACTATTTATTTCAACTAATTGTTGCATAATTTTGTATAAAAAAAAAATGATAAAAGATGAAAGCATATAAAAGCATATCAAATAAAGTTTTTTTTTTTTCAACGAAAAAAAAAAGGGAATAATCACAGTTGTAAATCAAAAACACGTATCAATGAACAATATACGATATAATTATTGAAAAATTCAATTAATTTATTAATTATCTAATTTTTTAAAGTTTTTTTTTTTGCGAACAAAAACTTGTGACATTTTTATTTTCATTAAAAAAAAGCTTATGTGCTAATATAACAGTTTATTAAATAATTTAAATTATGTAATACAACAAATAAATTTTATTCTCTAAAAATTTTCTAAATTTCTTAGCAATAGAACAATTAATAGAATATGTTTTACAATCATTAATGATGATAATCAATAATTAATAATTTCATTTATATTGGAATGATCCAAATGATAAGTTAAAATGGTTATTTTCTAAAAGAAAAAAAAATTGTCACATTGTCATAGCAAAAGAAAAAAAAAGAAGGAATTTATTTTGGTTCAGGTGATTTTACTTCATTATTACTTAGAGGTGTTGTTGATTTGATTGATTCTACTTTTGTTCTTTCCACTGATACTGTTACTGGTATTGGTGGACTTTGGACAAGATTTACGGTAAAACTTGAAGTAGGTACTTGAAATGGGAACATTGCTAATGGTAAAGATGTAATTGGTGATCCGGTAATTACCGTATTTGTTGCTGATGATGTAGGTGCTATTGGTGATGATGGTGTTGCTGGTACAGTAAGTGGTACAAATGATGTGGAAGGTGATAGGCTATTATGTGTTGCAGTTGATAGGCCAAGTGGAAGAGGTGTAGGTTGTAATGGGAAAAGTCTTGGATGATTTAGCGCATTAGCAGCCATATAGTTAGCCCAATAAGGATTGGTGCGCAATAGTTGCTGAATTGCGGCAACATTTGATGCTTCATTCAATAAATCCATCCCAACAGCTGCTTGCCTTTTCCATTTTGTTCTACAAATTAAATTTGTTTCAAAAAAGAAAAAACTTTAAATCGAAAACTTTAATTTCAAATTATTCATTAAACATCATGTAACAACAATTGAAATTCAATTATTCAATTATCTGATATCGTATTATTATTCGTATATATATATATATTTATAAAAAAATGGCAATGATGCTTATTCATTTAATTATTTAGAAATACGTTAATACTTGAAATTATATCAATTAGTTTTTCATTTCTTAAAAAATTAAACTTTTCGATTTTATTTTTATTTTATTTTTTACTCATTCATTTAAAAATGAATAATTTTGAAGAAAAGGAATGATAATTTGAATATATTTTTTCTCTTTTCTTTTTTTTTTGATGGGTTTATTAACTAAAGAATGACTATTTGTCATCAAATAAAAAGCAAATGTATTTTTGCTTCAATGCTCTCAGTTTACATTAACAAATAATTTAGTGAGCGGAGATGACGGGGTAAAGTATGAAAGAAGAAATGGTACCAAGAAATAGGCGACATTAAACCTCCCTTGTCACCCTCTTTTTCCTCTGTCCTCTTGTCCCTTGTCATCTTCCCCATCCCCCCCCTCACCCCCCAATCTTTTAACTAATATATATACATATACTCTTCTTTTAATCCTTGCATTTTGCTTTTGTTCACAATTTTATGGTACAATGAGCATTTTTGGGGTGTTAAAGTCTGCTAACTACCTTTTCAACCTTGCACTAATTTCATATCATTTTCCCTCTCTCTCTCTCTTTCTTGATAAACAATAGATAGAAGAAAAAGAGACGAGAAATGAGGAAGGAGGTAAGAGAGAGAAGGAAAGAGAAAAATAGAGAGGTATTATTTTACAAATGAAAACAAAAATTTAAAAAAGAAAAAATAGTTTACAGTAATTCTTTTTTTGAAGAATACGGTAGTAATAGTATAGAAAAGAGCAAATTAAGATTTTATTTTACTACAATATGCGGTTTTTTTTCGTCAAGTAAATTTTGGTGTAAGTTAAGCAAGTTTTGATGCAAAGTTAAGTATGTTTTGATGCAAAGTTAAGTAAGTTTTGATGTGAGTTTTAAAAAAGTGGAACATAATTACGAGGAAAAGTAATTAATTAATAATTAAGTCAGTCGTTTCTAATTTTTTTTCTTTTTTTGTTCAAAACATAAGGCGATTATTTAAGCTTCAAGTTTTTTCCTTTTTTTTTAAAAAAGTTCATTATTTTAATCAAATCTTTTCAATCAATCTGATTTAAATTATAACAAAAATTAAATTTTCAAATAATTTTTATGACTAATAGTTTGGTAGAAAAAAAAAATTTTTAGCATAATTTTATCATTACCTAAACAATAATTTCATTTATTCATTCGAATGATGTGATAAGTAAAAATAATTTTTTAAAAATTACTACCAATTAAAATTATTAATTAAAATTAAACACCAAATAATTTCAATACTATTGGAATAAAGAAGGGAAAAAAAGCAAGAATTTGAAAGTAAATTTTGAAAAAAAAAAAACAAAATTAATTACCGTCGATTTTGATACCATGTTTTAACTTGTGTATCTGAAAGACCCATCCGTTGTGCTAAATCCATCCGATCTTGTACACTCAAATATTTTTGCTTATCAAATGTTGCTTCTAATTCCTGAAATTTCCAAAACAAAAAAAAAGGGTTTTTTTTTTTAAAATTAAAAACAAATTGATGAAAATTTCACAAAAAAAACAAAGATTATTATTTTAATTAATGATAAAAATTTACCTGTAATTGTTTATCAGTAAAAATTGTTCGTGCTTTACGAGCTTTTTTACCACAACCAATTGAGGAATGCGAATGTGGACTGTAACCGGAACGATGTGATTCCGTTGACCCGCTTCGTTCATCCTCACCCAATGATGATAATTCTAAATTTAATTAAACAATAATTAATTAGATATGGTAAGAATTTTTTTTTCAAAAAAAAAAAAAATTTTCTTTTCTTTTGCAATCTGTTTTGTCTGAATTTTTTAAATGAATTATAAAAAAAAAAAAAAGAAAAAGAAAGAAAAGCAATCGTATAAGTGAAAATTTTCAAAAATATCAATATTTTTGAAACATTTTCTTTGTTTTTTTTGTTTCTTTCAAAAATTTAAGTTTTTTATTTTTCTTTCATTTTTTTTTCTTTTCCTTTTCAATTTTCTTAATTCCATCTTTTTTTTTCATTCTTTTCCTAAATTCTCTCTTTCGTATCTTTTTTCCTTTCTCATTTTTTCTTTTTTTAATTTTTTCCTCATTTTCTCTGTTTTAATTTGACAATTAAAAGAAAACATTTATTCTTTAATTCGTCGCTGATAAATTTTTAATCGTTGAAGTAATTAAAAAGTAAAATTAAATTGAAGTAATTAAAAGGTAAAATTAAAATTGAGGAAAATAAACGAAATAAGAAGTAATTGAAAAATAAAATTGATCAAATAACCAAATAATTTTTTAATTGTAAATTGAAGTTTTAAATAATTTCGGTAATTTTTTGTTTAAAATTGGAGTTTTTTTTTCTTTTCTTTGCCAAACTATAATTTTTTTCTTGTCCCTTTTAAGTAAAAAAAAAATAGCTTTATTTCATTTTCCCTTCTTTATTTCTCTTTCTTTCTCTCTCTCTCTCTCTCTCTCTCTTCCTACACTCCTATTC